TGTTCCAGCGAAGCGACAAAACATTTTATTGGTTCCTACCATATGATAGTTACTAAATGAAATAAGGCGTCTACCCATGATTTATTTTAGCAATACATCACTGCCTATAACTGTTATACTTCACTATATTTATGTAGTAAATTTATTTAAGTAGTTTAGGTAGGTATGTTGTATTCCTACTCAAATACTCAATGGACTCATTATTAAATAAATATTATATTATTCTAAAACATTATAACAATCTTATCTAAATTTTAAAAAATTTTCTTTTTATTATCAAATAATTGTGTGTAAAGTGTAGTTTATTTCAGGCTGGGAATAAGGGTCCCCAAATGTATGTAAGCCTTGGGGCCCGTTTGCGCGGTACACTCTGCACACATGTTATGTATCGATATTACAATAATATTTTGCATATTCGTAACTATTGGTGATTGAATCTGTTTGTCAATTGTTTATAGTCATAGAAAAATATCTATTTGATTTATATGAAGTGTTAAATCATTTTCTAAACCACCACACTAATTGAGCATTCATATCAAATTAGACTGAAATAAATTACTACATTTATTCAGATTTTGATTAGTGTTCTCAGTTTTGTTTTGAAACAGATAAGTCTTTGGTATTTTTTCAGGACTAAAACTTGAGATCAGAATAATATTCTAAAGATGAACAGTGTACCAGTTGTGTCCAACCTTACTAGCACAGGAGTTGCAGGATACAACGGCACCAGCTATGCCACTGTGTTTCCGGCATTACCGTCTTTAAAGACGTTGGACAACATAAGGACCAAGCGTCAGAGTGCAGTGTCTGCAAAACAGATTAAAGTTAAAACTTCAACTGTAAATGAAGTAATTCATGAAGTCATTTTAATAATATTTAATTAGTATCAGAACGATAAACATGATTACATGTCTTTGGGATTGTAATGTGACCGATGCGTTATCACGATTATAACCATGTAGTCAGTTCAGGACAGTGGCATAACATACGGGGGGTTCCCGGGTTCAAACCCCCCTCAGGGCCGAAAAAAAAGAAAATTGTTTTATTATTGATGACTTGTAATATATTCGTAGTTTCATTATTACGCTTTGACTTAAAATATACTACTATACAAATATTATGATGATTAAATAATTATATTGATAGGTGTTTGAAAAGTTTTGTTAACTATGCTGTTTTTATATTCCAATAGCTATTAATTTACTGTAATGTAAAAGTAAACTGTAAATTGGTAAAAAAGTTGTATAAAATAATATCTGTTTATAGCAGTTTTTCTTATTTATCTTCTTTATCTGTGCAACGAAAAAAAAAAGATAACGATTATTTTTATTAATATTTTAACAATATTTTCTTTTTGTATGAATAGTTAAGCTTTAAAAAGTTTTTGTGAATTTATATCTGGAGTAAAAATAAAATAAAAACATAGTTTTTATTCAGTACAATTTGTAGGTATTTACAATAACTGCCGAAAATTGTAATATGGAAGAGTGTAAACCATGCGCGGGAGAAAAATATAAAGATGTACTTAGAAAAATTGCTATACAAACTAATGTGGAAGTAGAGATTAGCACATCAAAAAATATGGAATCGACTTTTCTCGTCAGGGGAAAAAGAGTTAACGTTGATCAAGCGAAACTTAAGATCATCGCTTTTTTCCAAACCCAAGTAAATTGTTTGTAATTAAGTATATTTTTGTGCGCAAATTATAAATGAATTATGAATTATATATATATATTTTTTTTAATATTTTAATACTTAAATGTGTATAATAAAAAATTGACGAATCATTTGTTATTTTATAATTTTTTGTACGCATAAATAATTATAATAATATTTTTTTCTTTAGAACATTACTCGTACTATTAATATTGCTAAGGAACATCATGGTAAATTAATGGGTAAAAAAGGAGCGGTCCGAAAAGATATCGAAATACGTACCGGAGCACGAATACATATACCTAGCATTAAAAATACGTCCGAGATTATTAATGTTACCGGAACAAGAAATAGTACGGCAAAAGCAATAAAAGTATGTAGCAAAAATATGTTTCAACGAATCGAAATATAAATTTTTTTAATTATATCCCGTATGATTGTGGTAACCACTAAAACCATTCATTGAAATTTTAAAAACGTAGATATTATTTAAAACATTTGGGTTATTCTAAATCTTAATTCATGTATCACTCGGTCAGTGATTTGTGTACAGTCAAAACCATTATCACAATCAATTTGAAATTTTGGGCAAATATAAATTACTTGTTACTATTTATAAAAGTGGTAAGGAAAGATTGTTGCACAATTTTGTGTATAGAACTAGTTATATACATTTTTTCATTTTTCGATTATCTAAGGGGATATTTTGTCTTGTTTAATATGATGAATTTAATAAACACTGATCTAAATATTTGTAAACTAATATCGTAATAATATCAATGTAAATAAAAATTGTAAGAATTTGATGGTTTTGCCCTTCTTCAATCTAAAATAAATTTTTTGCATCAAAAAACAAATTAATCAAACTTAATATAGTCAAATCTCTCGCGGTTATCGATATCCGATAAGAAGTAATCCTCAGTAGTGAGATGGACCATTTAACTATGTTATATATAAAATCATTGTAATTTTTCTGGCCAATAAATATATATTATTATTATTATTATTAATTAAATTCTTGATAAATACTTGAAAATATCATGAACTGTATGTAGATAAAATTATTGAAATTCAACAAAAAGTCTGAAAATGTACTACAACTTTCCATTATTTATGTATCTTAATAGTTATTAAAAAATTAGCGTTATGTTAAAAAATAGATTTATAATCATTTGAAAATTAAATGTTAACAAAAATCGATATCGATTCATTAAAAATTAATTTTTAATACATTAGGTTTAATTTTCTACAAAATTTCTGTTGAGAATTTTTTTTTTTAAAGAATTTATCTTGTCCCAAAAAAATGTACAAGTCTTATATATTAACAAAATTGGGTATTTCAAAAAATGTCCATCATGTAGTTTCATTCGTGGTTTTCTAACAATTTAAATTATTATTAGGAATTGGAGGAAATTATATTGAAGTTAAAAAATGTAAGTGAAAAAGAAATTTTAATTGATCAACGTCATCACGGAGCTATGATCGGAATTAAGGGTAAAAACGTTATACAACTTCAAGAAACCTTTAACGTTAAAATTACATTTCCCAGTCCAGGTAATTAATAATGTTGATTTATTTGTTTTTTCGCATTTTGTTTATTGATAAATAATATTTGGTTCGATATTTTAGCCGCGACTAAAAACAATTTAGTCAAAATACGAGGTTTGAAAGACGATGTAAATAAAGCGTTTCAATCAATATCTGAATTGGCTAAGGCATTGGATGAGTCTTTAAAATTTCTCAAACCTGGTGCTGGAAATAAAGTTGTGATTAATGATAGCAAATCAAATTCCTGTTAAACGTTGAATATTATTATAAAAGATGGATATATTCATGTTGGCATATTGTTATGTAATATTTATTAAAATAATAATTATATAAAACATTATTTTTTGTGCATTTTATATAAATATACTAATAATGGATTACAGTAGTATATTATATATATATTATTTACATCATTTATTCCGCCTCATAATATAATTCAACTGGAAAAAAAACCTTTTATGATTTATGATTTTAAGTTACATTTTTTTTGACACGAGATTTTAAAATAATGTTTAAATATATAAATAAATAGTTTTGTAGAAATAAACAAATAAATGAATGCGTAACCTGGTAAAGATAATTATTTCCATAATTCGAAACCGGTCGTATATTACACATATAATAATAATCAAAGTTACACATTTATTTATTTAGTTCTGTTTTATTTATTTTAACACATAATTGTTAAAAAAACAATTTTAAATATAGGTATCAATAATACGTGTATTCTCCGGTTACACAAGGAAACTGTGTTTATTCATATATCTCGCATACATAAATAAATAAAATAATACCATATATAAAAAATAATTTCGATGTGTAATTTTTAATTGTTTCGATTTTGTTAAAAGATTTATTTCTTTTTTTTTTAATCAAAACAAACAGCTCCGCTGAAAAAATAGTATAAACAAGTAAAAATTAATGTATAATTTTGCATTCTTAATTTGACTAGGAACGAAGTAACAATAATGCATACGCATGACTTACGTATAATCGACTACGGTCGTGTTTATAATTCCAAAAAAAGTTTAAAACACTGGATTAGATATTGTGTTTTAAAGGTAAAAACACGCATATTGTTATGCAACAATAAAATTAAACACGTTTACGTAATTGTTAGAAACCTACATAAGACAAGATATTTTTCCTACGCTTTGCTATAAGTATAAACGAAGTTTCGCTAAAAAAAAATTCATATTCTTCATCCTTGCGAATGTATTACACTACCGAAACATAACATTCCACACTGAAGCTCTCGTCTATCCATTTTTAATTTAAATATCAATATAGATCACTGCAAAAATAATAAGATCAAATGATATTTTAATATCAAATTGTTCACTAAAAAAATTGCATTCACTTTTCAAAATTTTTAAATATTACGTTGTCGCAAACAATTAATTGAGTAATTATTGTTCTGAACTTACTGAATAATTCAATTGATACTGAATTTAATTCATTCAACCAACTTCAAACAATAAAAGCGTTTACAATTGATTTTATATTATTAATTTAAAGGCTAGAGCCGTATCTTTTCATATTCATACTTGAAACGCAGAACTAAACATTTGTCTTCTTGCGAGGTTTGGTTTGAAAATAAATGAAAACCTACGATCACTGCTGTGAGTATAATATATTTTTCCAATCGAGTCAGAATATCTCGAAGTACCGGTGTTCATCAAGTTTCAACGATCCGATTTCAAAAAAATGTTCGAGGAATGTCTGCGCAAATGAGAAACTCAATTAGTAGATAGTTTTCCATAGAATTCGCATGCGTGAGAAATTCAATAACACAATTTTTTCAGAAAAATTTAGATCTTTTTATCATATAAGGTCTGGAGGAGTTATTACAATCGTCCCCGTAATAAAAATATCATCATGATTACAGTACTGTCTTAAATATAATTATAAAAACACTAAACATTTTGTTTCGAGTTGTAGTAACTTATCGTGCACGACGGCAATGCCCATTTAGACGCTCTCAGTTCGATCAGGTGCAAAAGGATCTTTTTCACGGACGACGTACAGTCGCGTGTCAACATCACGTCTCGAATGGTCACGTACAATTGTTTTAATGAGTCCGGCACCTCCTGTTCCAGATCTCGTCCAACGGCGTCTACGATGTCGAACAGACATTCGATCTGCACAGATGAAAACAAATAGTGATAATAACTATAATAATATAAATCAATAACAATGTACTAACTATTATTATTATTGCCTACAACTGAAAAAGCAATTAATTATGATATTAATTTTTCGGGCCACGGTAAGTTCTCACACAAAGCACAGCAAGTAAACGTTTACATATGTAAGTTCCTACATGAACAAAAGTACAGCAATATGCAATATGTAATTTTCTACATGCAATTCCATGATTGAAAATATAATGAATTATTATCTACCATCATTATTAGTTATTACTAGGGTTCGGAAGTTGATGACCTTAAAAACATTAAAAAAATGACCTAAGAAAATATCCAAATATGACATCATAATAACAAAAAATGTCCTTAAAAAATTACAAATATTTACTATAAAATTCTATATAAATTTATCTAAGCTTAAAAATTACTCAAAAATCAAAATCATTGCATTGTACAATGCAAGCGTACCTATTCAATGTTATCAAAAGTAAATGAACGACGATTATCTGTTTATAAATATTTATATTTGGAAAAACTTCTCTACACGTCCACTGAAGTGATTAAGAGACGTAGACGAGAACTAACCGACATTTTAATTTTTGGAATTTTGAAAATATTACAAAAAAATAATAACACAACGACGCGACGACTGTAATCGGAGGGATATAATCGGATGAGTACTAATCTAAGTTCGTGGTAATTTCTAAGTCTTAAGTTATCGGCATAATGGTCGACAAGAAACGATAAGAAGTGACCTAATGTGAAATCAGTAAAAATGACTAAAAATGTGAGAAAATGACTGGAAAATGTCAAAAATTGATTTTAAAAGTAATAAATACCAAAAAATGCAAAATAAAAATTAGTTATTCGGATTCACATGCTAATTAAACACATTTTTAGTCAGGAGAGCATCGTCTAAAAAGTTAAAAAATGCAAAATGCATCAACTTCTGAGTCCTAGTTATTACTCTGAATAGTAATAAAAATGCGGTTTGTCACATTGCATATAATACGATTAATACATTTTTTTCTTTTTTAACACAATATAACGCAGTATGATTATGTTAAAAGTTTTCTTAATAAGCCACATACGATTTAATTTATATTATTATTATTTTTATTATCATGCCTATAGAATACGTGTGACATGTGGATGACTCACTATTCTATAAGTATGGACATGATTCAATTAAAAATCGAATTAGATTTTTTAAAAAAATGCAAAATAAACATATTTTAACCACACCAACTATGTTGTCAGTCCTATGTCTAAATAAAGTGAGAAGGACATTTGTGTTCTTTATACATTTTATTTGTGTAGGAACTTACGTACCGGTATATTTTTTTCGTATAGGAACTTACATAAACAAACCAAAAAGTGATTTTTACCTGCTATATTTTATGTGGTAACTTACATTCACCCAATTTTTCTATCCTCTCTCATCTGTAGTACTTTTATTCGGTGTACAAACAGTAGTTAAGTAATGCTAAATTAGGAAAAATGGGATAAACATGAACCAATGAGGTATTAAAACTGTGTCACTAAATGTCTAGACATTTTTCTTATTTCTGTATGATTTATGTCTTATGTATATTCTTTAAAAATAATTACTCATTGAACCACTAACCTAATAAGGTATTTTTAGCTATTCAATTATTTCACGGTCTTTTTGAACTATTCGTAATTAATTATCGTAACGTTTTCAATGATCTTATTATAATGCAATGCAGATTATTATTACTTCTTCAGTCGATGTCTGCTCTTTGGTGGGCATCAAGCAGTGTTCACAGATTTTGAACAATAACATGAGCAGGGTTTGTTTACGAGAATAAGCCTCCTTCTCCATTCTGCTTAATAATACTTTATTCTGTTTCATCTGAAAATCATTCGAAACGAACGGATAATTGTTAAATTGATTAATTTAATAACGATTAATTGTGTATTTTTAATATTGGATAATGTATAATTTATAATTTAAATAATACCTACATTTATAATATGACATTATGGTTATGTATAGGCAAAGGCAAAACTATATAGACTAATTAAAGACTATATTTTAGCAGACAAATAATTGTGTTTGTTTTTTTAGCAAATTTTGAATTTAAAATGTAATAGACATTTAAAATCATAAGCTTCAGTTAGGTATTTAGTAATATTTTTTCTCTCGGAATCTTGCTATCCCCTCTTTCACTACTATCAATAGATCTAATTAGTTCTATTGAACCTAAGCTTAAGCGTTCCATAAAATAATTCCTTTCGTTATATACGCCGTGAAATCAAAAAAAAAAAACCTGAATGATCCCCGAACATTCAAACGCGTCGCATTGTTAAATTTTTTCAAGCTAAAGCATCGACGTCGCTATATTATACAGGTGAATATTATGAATGCATATATTTTATCCATGACGACACGACCGCAATAATTAACAATATGACGATAAAGTGTTGGAGCGTTTACTTACCCCTTTGTACATCTGTAACACGAACGTTGCGTACAAAAAGAATCTGGGTGGTTGCAAGAGTTTATCTCGTTTCACGAACCACAGTTGTATGGTATTAATTACCATGTTCACGTAGGTGTCTCTTGTGTCTCTCTATCATAATGTTAAACACTTGAAATTAATAAAAATTGTTAATGTGTATCAGGACGACGTTATAATAAAAAATCACCTCGATGATATATAGTGACAGGTTAACCGAAGGGTTCAAAGCGGCTTGTTTGCTAACCGCATGTTCAATTATTTTCAACGCCAAAAGCATTAAATCTTTAGTCGGCGAGTTTTTCGTATCTGGAATGTAAAATGTATTCAATTGTTTCAATACAAAATATACTATACTCGTGTGTTTTTATTTTACCCAGTATGGATTTCACTTTACATGCAATACAATTGCAAACCATTTCGTATTGTTTTAAGAAATATTTCTTATTCTACAATTAAACACTCAAAATACCTTCAAATGAAGAATGGTATTTTGGCCAGAATAAACCGTAAAAATGTTCTTTGGGATTACATAAGAAACGAAATTTCCAACGACAGCAATAATTGTAATAATAAATGTAAAACGGTATTTGTTAAGTAATATTATTAGTTAATAAAACAAAAACGTGTTTACGTAATATTATCTATGTGAACTTATCTAGTTTAAAGTAATTTGACCACAATACTGACAAAAAATTATGTAACGCAATATTATACGCATTTTTACAATCAAATATTGAGATCCATATTACGTTAAACAATATTTTTATCCATGAAAATGTCTTAAACGATTTCTCTATTTTCATTGTAAATATTTTATTAAATATATATATATATATATTTACCTTTAACTATACGTTTAGCCATGTCGTTAATATCTTCAGGAAAACAATTTAAGTTTTTAACACAAAACTCATTCGATTGATGTTTCCACGACAAATGTGTTTCTTCGGAAGTATTTTGATAATGTTTACTGTCCGGGCCATTATAACTTTTTGACCGTCTCAAACTAAAGTCATTTTTTGAATCTATCACGTGTTTATTTGATTCATCATTGGACGTGGGTTTTGGCTTCTTTCTGGGCTCCTTAAATTGCACTTTCGGACCCTGAAGACATTCGTTTGAGTTACCAAACACATAAAGGTATATACTGTCGTGATGTAACTTGCAGACAAAGACGCATAGGCATAGCTAGACCTTAAAGTTAGGGGAGAGAGCTCCATTTTTATAGTGACAGGAAATTAAGTGGACGACTCTGCCCCTACAACCCTCGGTACTTGTTGGTTATTATCACCATTTTATTCATTAATGTTACTAAAATTAAATCTGTACATTTATTCTTCTGAGTGACGAATATTTTTGTATTTACTTTTATTTTATAAGTATTATACGACACGATATTTTTTACAATACATCACATACAATAATATAATAGTTTGTAAATAATAAATAAAAATAAAACATTTTCAAGATGTTGTTAATAAAAAATAAAGCGATCATTTAAATTTAAATTTAAGAATGTAGCTACCGTTGATGGAAAAAGATTTATGACAAGGAGTTTCAGTTACATAACAAATAATCCATAAATTACACTTCGGAAGAGGAGCAAAAAAAATTGATGGCTAAGCGCTCTAGTCGCCAACTAATTACGCCTATGGCCAGAGATTAGAGTCACTATTATAATCGGGATAATGGGCCGGACTCTAATCAGTCCGACCCTGCATTTGCATCACCTATTCAAACATTTTTTACCATTAGCAGAATACACTACGTACTATGTGTGTGAAAATTACCTGAATATCTTTGTATTGCGTGTTTTTCAACTGTTGAAAATTATTCTTATACCCTTTGTTGTACTCAAAACTTTTCTTCTGGCCATTCGATTTTATCTCGCCGTTGGTGTAGAACGTTCTCGATCTCGACATGGTCGTACTACCACCGTGATGAGTGCTCCTGAAATGAACATAGATGTATTATATTATTTTATCTTTCGCCGTAAAAAGAATGATGAAAATGTGCTATCGTGAATTACAACGTTATATTTCTGATGATTGTCCAATTTATAACATAAACATGTTTTAACAGAACCGTGATGGATTTCGGTTATAATTAATGCGTTCGAAGGGTGTGTTTATATTCTTGTATGATATATGAGCTGTTAAGAATTAACATTAGATGGATAAAATAGTTTGAAACATCGAAAGAAAGTTAAAGAAATATTAAAACGTCTCTGGTCGCTAAACGATTGTAGTACAAAAAGGTACCTTAGTACATTATATTTGTATATTGGTCAATAGAAGTATAAATCGATTACAAGGATTTAACAATATTTAGAAAACATTGTAACTATTTCGTTCTCGTACTCTAAAATATTAATTTTAAACGACCAACTTACTCCGGTTTTGCACCATTCATGATGGACTGAGGAGCAGTTTTCGATCGTTCTAAGGAGAACTCTTTGGCATGCACGTTGAGATTAGTACAGCCTTCCGATGCGTCTGAAGCGACTTTGATGTTCTTGGATTTCTGGACTCCGTTGGCTATATATACATTATCACTGTTATTATTTATGTCACCTCGAACACCTACATCATGCCAAATGCATGTCGTTAATAAAAAGATTTCATGCTGAATAACAAGACACATTAATAAGAATAGTCGTGGTCCATCAAAAAATAACCAATACATGGCTGTAAATTAATATAATTCTTAGTTATGACTTAATTATATGTCAAATATTTTTATCAAAACGAATTTGATTGATATAAGATCTATGTTTTGCTTATTCTGTATTTATAGTCGTGTCACTTATTAGTTTACAAATTTTATAATAAATATAAATTTTATAATAGATGATTATCAATGTTTATTGATTATAATCTATAAACCTTGGGTGATTACAGCCAAATTTTTGATTTCCTTTGTAGTTTACGGTAAGTAAATCGATTTTAAAATGCGTATAATAAAAATAGAATGAAAATTATATATATAATATATTTTTTACTATATCGGAATATTAAAATATTAATCGAATTGAAAATTCATGTTTATTTTTATAATGATTTATTACTTTAGTCAAAAATTATGTATTATATGCGTTTGATATGCATTTGAACAGAACGGAACATTTATTTAAGATATTTCATAATCGAAGCACTCGTGTTTAATATTATTTCCAAACAACAAACATGACAGTTCAAAACAGTTGAAATTATAATTTTTTCACGGCAAACGGTAAGATGGGAATTTAAATTAAAAAATTGTGTTGTTAATATTACACACTATATTATTTCAAGTTATGCATACAACGTGATTCTTTCAGTACAAATAATCAATGCATCTCTTGAGCAGTGGCATATCTGACTTTACTCTATGGAGGGGGGCTTTATTTCTTTTTCCCCTTCTCAATAAAATTCTAGACGTTCAACAACGTTTATTGCACCTAATATACGTACTCTTTTTTGAAAATTTACATAACATCATATCATAAAATAACAATACATCTTAAACTTATATTAGGTACCAAAAAACAATATTTATTTAAAATAATAATCAACAATAGGTAATCTGATAAATCATAAATTCTAAGTTTCATTGTAATTTTTGTAATTTTATCTTAGTAAATATAAAGCAAATACTTATAAAAACATAACAATTTATGGGGGGAACGCCCTTCCCCAACAAAAATATGCCACTGTTTTCGAGTTACAAATTCACAAACATTTTATATAATATTAATATTTATAATTGGTTGCGGAGAAAAAACTAACCGTAAGAATAGCCGTATTGTTAAACGTTTTAATAACGGGAGTAAATATTATCACATAAAGTAATTGTATTAGAAAAACAGTCAAGAGTGTTGTATTATTAAGACTCGTTTAGAATTAACTGTTTAAATTCGAGACTAGCGCACTTAATGTTATGAGTGATTACACGGTGTGATTACTCATAACGTCAAAGCACAAAATTATATACATACTCGGTGGACGATAAATAGCAAGTGTGGGATGTTTCTTTTGTCCCATAACACCGCTATTACTTCTATTCAAATGGCCTCCCTGACCAACAAAAAAAAAAAAAAAAAAAAAGATTAAAACAAAAACATGTAAACGAGGGACGGTTAATAGAAATTTGAAGAAAAAAAAAATCGCACTCGATATCAATCTGCTTTCGGGTACGGTGAGTTATGCAAACGCATAGCAGTGCAATACAACACAAATTATTACTTGTAATGATCCATACCCATGTCCATTGGCATGTCTAAATTAAGACAGCCGATGAATACGAGTGGTGCGTTCCGTAGTCGCGTGCAAATTCTCTTGCACCGTGGGTGGGTGTGGTAATTACACCGCGTTTCCGTGATGTGCAACGAATGAACATATATTTCGCGCTATCGAAAAAGAGCGGTTTTATCGGTGTGGGAGGGGAACGTTCTGATCCTTATTCGCTGCGGCATATCATCCGAAATACAGGGCGCACCGTGCCCGTACCAACAGCATTCCACGGGCGTACGGAACGCACCGGAGTCGTACAAGACTATATGTTGTCACGGTACCGAGGAAAGCGTTTTCGAACGGCAGTGCCGTGACCAGGGGTTGGCAAAATGGGCGGTCGCCACGGGTTAAGCAGTAGAGTAAAAGCTCGTATTCAATTAAAATTGGGTTTTTTTTAAAAAAAAATAAAATGAGCGCCACGGTGGGTTGCCTTGAAATAGCGGTACGACGTCGCGCTACAGGACGACTTTACGGTATAATTTCCTGTCGCGATTCGCAGTTTGACGGTTCCAGCTGCTTGTGCGCGCGGGAATCTCCAAATCGCTGACGCGGAGGAGACGCATAGGAAGACGACGATCGCGACTTGATTTCTATTTTCGAACTCGAAACGCGTACATGTCCTGCCGACGCCAACCCCGCCGTCCACTGTTCGCGCATCTCGCCCGGTCCCGGTCGTAGGTACCTGCATGTGCTGTGTCGCGTGACCCGGAGCGGGACCGCCGACGAAGAAGCTCCTCTGGCGATTCAGTTCGTTCTCCAACTGCTTTTTGGTCTTCGGACTCGGGTTGCCGCGCTTGTACCTCCGGCAATAGCTGTTGCCGCCGTTGTTGCCGTGCGGCTGTCCGTCGGCGGCGGCGATGTCCATGACGACGATGTCCGCCGGCCGGATCGCCCGAATCCGAAATAAACGAACGAATTTATTATATGTAAAAACAGATTCTGCAGCAACGTTCAACGCCGCAGTTTGCCGGTCGCGGTACACTTCGGGTGTTTATTGGCTGCCGCGGACCGTGTGCCCGCGGGCCCCGGCGGAACGACGCTGGACGCGCGACCGATAGCACTGCCGGCCGGTCAGCAGGATCGCGCACGGGACCCGTTACGACGTCGACGAGCCCGTTTGGAGTTGGTGGCGGTGGGTAAAGGATCGGACGGAGGACGCGCGACCGTACAGGGATCGGATAACCGCGCGGGCCCACCAGCGGTCGTTGGCCGTCGGACGGCGAGCGCGCGACGAGGACTGATCCAGCTGCCGCCGTCGTCGTACGTATAATTATACGTGCAGTACACGGCTATACAGGATGCGCGTATTTTATTAGTTTTCAAACCGGCGCTTGGAAAACACCAATCGTTTTCGAAAAAACGACGATTTCTACGTGCACGTGTGCTCGTCGCCCGACTTCGACCGACGTTCTCCGCCGGACCTGCACGACCGACAGTGGCACGTACGCGGTGTCGTAGCCATCATAGGGCCAGGCTAACCAGTGCCCCGGACGGCCTTGGACGTTTCGGACACTTTTATTCATTGAAACAATCGACAGTGTTGACGCGTTCAACAGTAAACTCCCGAATCCTACGTGGTGATTGCAGTGACAATCGGAATTTAAATGTATCAATGATTCACGTAACTTATAACACGTTTATTTTGCAGAAAAATTAACTGGATTTTCTTTTTACTCGGTATATCATTTGAGAATTGTTTTCATTTGTCGTTTCACGATAGGTATTCACATTTACAAAAGCAATATGATGCGTGAATTTTGAATTTGCGTGTGAAGATAATAGGGGGCCCTGCCCTGTGTAACTACGTGATTTCGTATTCTACCCGTTCGGTAGTGCACGTCGACAAGGTTTCGCGGTAAATCATTTCGCGTGCGATTTTACCACTGCAATCGTACACACGTCGATCGAACAGAGAGATCTGACTCGGGAAACGCAAGTGTACGGTTCGGAGGAAAAAAAAATAAATAAACGGTAAGAAAAACCAGCCGTCGCGTACGCGAAAAATGTCACGGCGATCGCGTAGGAATTATTTTTTCCCAAAACACCTCGGGTGGTGCGAAACCCGACGGGTACGCTCGAGAACCGAGCAAACGGCTAATGCAAATAAATCACTCTGTATGCATGTAATAATAACAAAACGAATAATAGTGGAAATAATGAGAGAGGAAAAAACGCTCGCGCGCATATCAGTCAGTCGCAACGCGTCTATAAATAACACGGTCCCGTTCACGCGCGCGTTCTTGCGTGGACGCGTGTGCGCGTCAGTAAATTCGTATGTGTGTGCGCGCGCGCGTGTGTAGAATTTTTTTTCCGACTCTTTGGACGCATACCACAGCACGCGCGTTTCGATGGGATCGCGACGGTGGCGATTTGCGCGTCTCATGACATACGCACGATACGAGTATGCACTACGGCTGCGGTTGGTCCGGGTTGTATCAGGCGAGCGTAGATTTGTTGCGATTGACAAACCGTTGCCGGTTTGCACCCATGGACGATTGATTTTGTAAAAATAATAGAAAAAAAAAAAACAGATGGTTAAACGTTCATAGAAGTGTTTCCGATGAAAATTTAATGAGAAAACGGTCTTCTTTGCCTACTGTTTCGAACAAAATGTTTCGATCGTTTTTTTCTTAGTAAAAATTAACTTTGTGCGTCCCCGTTGAAAATCACCGCGCCAATTGAATACGACTGCACCGTTCCGCGACACGTGCCCGTTAAAATGGTACAGCATCTGTCGTAGCACGCGCATCATGTTGCGGTCTCCGCACGTCCTATAATACTGTCCGTGGCTAGACCACAATGTTAGAAGTTTTAGATGCAATATCAACTATACCTAGATATTTTTTTTTTTCATATCTACCATGGTAGAGGTATATTATGAACAAATAGGTTAGAGGTGTAATAATCATTAATTTTATTAAGATCAATGTTTAATTACCTACACTTGTAATTCCCTGTTCGAGTTCAAATTGAAATCGTTCAACAATTTTTCAATGTTGAGGTTTTCTGTGTGTTTCGGTTCAAATGCCGATTGGTTATAAATCTGATCATAAGTCATGTGTATAACTTGAAAATACTTGTACGTATTAAACTTTTAAAAAACATTCTATTAATCAATACTTATACTTATATTCCATGAACACATGTCAGGGTTTCACGAATGATCGTTCACACGTTGTAGCTATAAGGAGATTAGCACAAGTATGTAGTGCGAAAATCAACTGTTTAATTAGGTATATACCATTTCAGGTATATAAGGGTAATGTAAAGAGAAGTGAACGGTCTTATAACAAGTCAATAAACATCAGTGACACCTAAGCAAGAATTCTTGAAAGTCTATTAATTTTTATACTTAAATCTTCACAACTTATGATTGTGTAACTGTGTCGAACCCACCACACGTAGGTTACACAGCATTCCAAGTTAAAAACACTTTTAGTTAAATGTAGTAATACTATAACCAGGCCCGGCTCAAGTGTTTAAACAAACATAGGGGAAATTTAGTGTAAATATTTTATCAAATATTTTTTTTTTATACATAAAAATTGTCCAGGAAAAATGCCGCCCTTGGCTTGGGCCTATATTGCCTACCCCTTGAGCCGGGCCTGACTATAACAGTATAGATAGAATATAGATTTATTTAAATAATTTTTTTTGTTTACTTACAACCGAACTGAAATCATATCATAGGTATCTAGTCGTTTGCAACACGATAAAATATCGAATATGATTTCCCGGAATGGTTAATGTTGACATTTTGAAGATTTTTATGAAATTCTTCCAGTGGGCAGCGGAAAGTTTGGCCTTACCTCAAATTTCGATGCTTAATGAACAAACAGGGTCTGTAATGGTTTTGTATATGAGTATTTTATTTTTAAGGCTTATTTTCGATGATTAAAATTAGGAGGAACAGAAGGTGTGAGTTTACATTGAATTCGTTACGATCTATCCGTGTAAGTCTTTAATCAACAGTTACTCCGTCGTTTTTTTTATATAATGATTCATCAGAAATTACGACATGCAAACGACTTAATATAAATCTATAACGGTATAACACGTATGCGTTTGGCGCTGTAAATATTTAAGACCATAGCATCATCAAGTCAACTATAGAACAATGAGAATTCTTGGAAAAATCTTTAAAAAAAAACAATTTCTTATGCAGATGCTTACTATGACTGTAACACGACAATAGTTATAATATCGTAATATATCTTTTTCATACATTATTATGATTGTAGTATTATTGTATCTGGCCTTCATAATATATAGGTAACATATTCAAAATATTTTTTTTTTCAAATATTTAACACGCAATGGGTACGAGTTCATCAGAGAGAACACTTTTCGCAAATATGTATTTATACGTGATAATAGGTACAGTTTTTAATACGTTAAATTTGTGTTCTTTACGGATAGTGATATAAATCATATTCACAAAATTTTATCGAAAAGAACCTGGGTGTTTTTGATAGTTTAATGTTTAATTAATCAATTTCAATTAGTTTATTACAAATCATTGTATATACGTAAATATGTAAGCTGACCGATTGTAAAAATAAACAACCCGGTTCAATAATAGCAATTTAAGTCATATCCAACGTGAATTTAACTTTTATTTGATAACTACTGTTATCCTAATAGATGTGTATAATTTTTAGTTTAACAATAAAATGTAATCTCATTATATTTTATTTATATTATGGAATAAACACATTTTTACTTACATGTTTTGTAGAAATTAATGACTCTATGCATATAGCAAAGTTATCTTGCAGAATGATAGTCAAATTTAAAATTAAACAAACACAAACAATTTTTGATAAAATAAAAATTATGACAATAAGATATTTTATTGTTTCGTAAATTATAATATTTAATACATAATATATAAATAGGATAGATCTATGCCCCTTTTTCCAATTTAGTTAAGCAATTAGTAAGTAGTGTAAGTGATATTAAACTAGCAACAATACATTTATGAACAGTTAAAAATGATTGAACACTTCTACAACATAATATAATTCATTTAACAAAATAAGTACTAATAGTTATATTTTATGAACTTAAAATCGATTTATAAAAAAAAGAGAAAAAATTCTATAAGTTAATAGTTATTTGAATGTCAAAATTAATGTTAATACAGTTCAATACTTTACATGAACATCAAAAATTCTATTACACATTCACAGCATATTTTCCATTTCTATTAGATTCAAAAGATATTTGGTACCTAGGAACTTCACTTTTTTTGTCATTGAATTCTTCTATTTTTTGATCAATACAACGAAATTGCCATGGCCATAAAACATTATATAAAAATGGCCGATGATCAAAACGGTTGTCATCTGGACCATATGCTTCAGCGTGATAGCTAGGAGTCAAGATAGTCATTTTGTGTCTATTTATGGCATAACACCTAAAGAAGTGTTTTACTTTTTCTGCAATTTGTTCAGCTGTATACTTATCACCCCATAACAACAACAATTTACAAAACATACTATATGGACCACAATAGTTCTGTTTTCTTAACTTTCCATAAACACTGAGCTCATCGTAAGTCATGCCCATATCTGCTTCGTCAGATTGTGAAGTGCGTCCAGCAACCAATGGTTCTAATTCTGCTGTAGGTGTAGCGTTTATAATATCATCTATTGCAGATAATGAATATTTGTTTCTAAAATATCTGAGAAACATTTTAAGATCTGATTTTGAAATACCACCAATTGGATTCACATCAGCACTTGAACAGTCATATTTTGTCATGTACCCTCTAAGTGCTTCATCGACGTTGCCTGAACCCAAGACTAAAAGTCCGCCTTGTCGGCCTCGCACCCATAACATTAATTGAGCAAATAAGTATGTTAAAACCATTCTCAACCGAGCTTGTACATTTTGCAAGGCAAGCGATTCACGGGGAGATCCACCATAAATGGAAAACTGTGGTGTTTTACCAGTTAAACCGACAAAAATAGATATTACTGCAGAGACCGCTTTATCAATAACAACACTCAAATGGTAACTAAATATTTGAGAAGATAAGTCTTCAGCTCGTTTTTTTGTTTGTGAAGACGAATTTTCAGTAGCCATATAACAGGTTGTTAACAACTGATTACATAGTTCTCTTGCATTCGAAGGAAAATAATTAGGTTGACCAACAATAGCACGCACTTCATTCAAAACTTGTGTTTCACCATCTTTGCACGCCTGATATATTAAATTGCACATGGAAAATACTATACATGCTGTACTTGATGAATCAACACCACCACTCAATGGCAAAAAGTATCCACCTTGTTTAGAACGTCTCAAATAATCCCAAAGCCAACATGCTGGACCTAAGGTAATCTCTTCTTCAGGAGATAAACATTTAAAATCAGTCAAAATGGGATCTGGTGTTTTGCGCATTTCCCTAGATAAACTAAAGTCTAACACATTTATCCTATGGTAAGGCTCTGAAATAAAGCTGGATCGAGATCTTATAGCATTCCTATAACTACGAATATCTTCTAAATCTATTGTAGCACAAGTCACTTCTACATCTTTTATATTAAACTGAGAGCCTATTTTAATAAGAGAACCATTCATCACAATATTTGAACAACCATTAAAGTAAACACGTTGGCCATCACATCCTCTAAGATTACTGTACAAATAACAACCACCATTTTTAAAAGTGGCAGATTTAATTAGATCCAAAATAATTGAAGATTTACGCAATTCCATATAAGAACCAGAACTGTTTACAATTATTTCAACACCATCCATAGATAATGGAATATGAGTACTATTCGGTGTCCACAGTTCTTCACAAATTTCATAACCAATACAAGTATCAACAGTAGCAATTATAGCATTTCCAAAAGGTACAATAGTTTGGCCAGTGAGTTCCTGCACAATTCGAGGCAAATAAAAATCTTCTATGGAATGTGTTTTTTTCCATGGAGTAAACCAACGAGATTCTCTATAGTTACCACTATCACACATGAGTAATTTAGGTCTGATCAACAAAATACGTTTGTTGAGGAATACAACTCGACAATTGTAAGTAGAATTTTTATGCATTACTGGCATACCAACATCAATCTAAGCATATAATATAATATTAATATATAAAAATGTATAATATAAATGTTTTATTAACACTAATGAATAACTAACCAAAATATCTGATGAAGATGGATGCATCATTATATCAATCAGAACTTGCCATGAATGCAAAAGGGTGTCACTCTCTAGGAAGTGATCCTCACAACTGTAGCCACATATTTCAAGTTCAGGTCCACTGCGGTATGTTGCATTGAATAGCTTAGCAGTTTCAATACTTTGCAATATACGACGCTTATTACCATCGAAATCCAAAGCCCACTGATTCAAACAACTTACAGCTACAGTAGCAAAGCGACCCATTTTTCTAACTAAAATGTTAATTACTAAATTAGATACAGTTGAATATAAGTTTACTAAAATATTTCTTATAGCTCTTATAAGATCCTAGACATTATATTGTTTTGTGGAGAAAATAGATGGGCAACTTATAAAATCATAGTTTTTCTAAATGTCCTTATTATTCAAATTATTATATTTACATATAATCTCTCCCAGAGACAAATTAACATAACAATTTATACATATTTATAATTGTATATACAGTTAAATTTGGATTAATGTAAAATAGTAAAATAAATATTCAATTTAAATTAAAAAATGTGTTAAGTTTAAAATGATTTTATATTATATTACATAATATGAAAACTGTCAACTACTAAAACCTACCTAAATTAATTTAAATTACGGGGAAACGATTTTATACTTCTTTAAGTTATGACTCATTAGTGATTTTTAATTTAGAAGTTAAATAAGAAAAAAAAATACAATAAATGCTGACAATAATTTATTGGGGAAAATAGTTTTATTTTCAATTTAAGTTCAAAATTGTACTTACCCAGATAACAGTTTATTTCACAAAACAAAAAATTTTTTACACGACGTAATGTAAATCTCAGGGTGAAAATAATATTAATATTAAATCATGTTCTTCACAGTTCATGATGTCCTATAGTTTGATCAATTTATTAAATTTTCAAAATATCACAATACCCACCCCCTCTCCACAGTCAAAATACGTTTCCTTAGTTACATGCAACCAACACGTGATTGGATTGGAATGTGATGATAACATTGATAACACATTCGTTTCTATCACAGATATATATATGAGAGGATCGCGACAGCAACGTGAGCTAATTTTTCGGAGCAGTTATCATGGCTGAAATTAATGATAGTTTCATTATCATCCTGTGTTAGTTATCACTAAATATAATATAAAATCCATAAATATGATACACAATTTAAACTCTGATGTTATTAGCTCTATTAATATTTACAGTGAATTAGAATATTCAATATTTTTCAATTTACCTTAAGTCTTTGCAGTGTCATCAGATATGGGAGCGGAGAAAATTTACCTCTCTGATATAAGGGGAACAAAACTATAATTTGAAAAATAATGTAAAATAGTTCCTGTACCACTGGTCTTGATATTCTCACAAATGTATTCAGTACAATAAATTCTATGCATTTTGAGTCCTCAATTTTTCTAAGCTGAGGCCCCTTGACAGTGCTGATCACCCCCAGTCCCGCTTCCAATTGCGGCACAATTTGGATGCTTGAATAGTTATAATTCTTTTTTAACACAATTTTTTTATTGTGTTATAAGACCAGAATATTAAGTTCAGTGTCGTATATAGAAAAAACCAATTACATAATATAATATTATTATATATACTACATTATAATATATTATAATATTGTAGTAATATAGAAATAATATTTACCTATTTGATATATATTAGTGATAACAAACATAGGATGATAATGAAAATAAAAAATTTTAGCTATGATAATTGCTCCGAAAAACTAGCTCACATTGCAGTTGCGATCCTCTCCTATACATATATCTGTGTTTCCACCACAGCTGGTAAATTGTTTGCGCTTTTTTACGATTCGTTGCACAATTTGCACCAACCAAACATTTCGAACTGCACAAAACTGTAATCGATCTGTGGCTTGTTAATAGGATACAACTATTTGGGATTCAACATGGAACGCCGCGGAATAAAAAAAATGTATTAACTTACGTTTAAAATACCATAATTACAATTTAATAAACGATAGATGGAAGAATCAGTTTAACCAGAATAAGACATTTAATTTTCCTAGATGACTGATTATTATGAACAAATTAATAACTATAACAGAATAATTAATCGATGAGATAACTGATATCATATATATAATGTATTATTACATTTATACACATTTTATTTTCAATTAATTTCATGACGGTTTTTGTCGAAAATTTTAAAACACTAATAAAATTAAATGACGTTTTCTTACAGAAAAATTAAAATCGTTTACATTTTTCTTAACATCTCAATAATTACACATGGTTATTTGTAATAAATATTAATAGTTACCAGATGTAAATACAATATTGAGATGTTTTGTTGACTAATAATGATTATTATAATAATAATAGTATACTAATTAATAATATTATAAGACGTTCTTTAACCCGTAACTGGTACTTGCCGTGTCATACACTGCTGTACTTTTTTTTTAACCTACATAACAATTATAATATTGATAATATTACTTGGAGGTTACGTATATCTTTGTATGGAGGTAAAATGTATATAAGTTTTTCATGTTATGTTCACTGTCATAACTTGTTATTGTTGATATAAAATGTTCAGTGGTATCTCACACCGCACTGTACCATATCCATAACATTTTCGATATCCATTTATATGTTTGAAGAAATTTTTGTTTTTATTTTTAAATTTAGTTCACTATAGTTATATTTTATTATGTTATTTATATTTACTATTATATTTGAAGTTTATTGTATTTATTTTTGTTTATTATAATAAAGCATTTTAATTGGAGTTTGGTTATAGTTATTTTTACTTAAAAAATGATTTTTCTCATTATATTTTTTTAATCTTATTCTTCAGTATGTCTTTTATTATTATATATAAGTTTGAACCTTAAAAACTGATATTGAAAAATTCTAGAATAAAATAAAAGATTCAGAAATAAATTGTACTATAATTTTTTTATGTAACAATTCATTCATTGAAACACTAAGAAATAATTTGTTTGAAAAAAAAAATGTAGAATGATTGTAATACTATACAGATAATTAATATTAATAAAATTATTTAAGAACTTAATCTAAAAAGGTCCAAATATTGATATCAAATGAAGCGGTATGTCACACCGCACTGTACCAGTTACAGTTTATTTTTTCACTGTACCAGTTACGGGTTAAAGTAATAATAATAAATATATAATCAAAACAGGACAACTAAGCCCAAGTATTTTATGCTATTTTTCCAAGTCTTACTAAAAAAATAAAGGGAGAAGTAATTTTTATTAAATAAATCATCACTTACTATTTTGATACAATTTTCATGAGTTCTCATTGTAACTTCGAGATTTCAAATTTTTATACAACCATACATGTTTGGATATTCTAATTTATTTTTATATATAAACAACTCTATTTAAAAAAAAATCAAGTGGATGACTTACTGTATGAGTTGTAAGTCTATGGATATAGTTTTTCAATACAGGAGTACATAATCATTTAAATTACAACAGTTAATTTATTTGAAAGTGCTTACCTAAACAAAGTACGTTTGTACCTGTCTACAACATGATAGACTACAATTTTCTGGACATTTAAATGAATGACTAAAAAATATTTAAATTAATTTTTGAATTACAAGACAGTTAACTGATTGTAACGAGTAAGACTGATAATGTAATAGTATTTTTATTAAGTTAATATTACATTTTTGATTAATTTGATTTAAGTAGAGTTCTTAATTTGGACAAAAGGTGATTATTAAAATTAAATAACTAATACATTGTAATTTATTTAAATTAATAACAAACCTAAAACACAAACCATTATTTTAATTTTAAAATATGCTCTTAACTAAGATATTTTTCAATAATGTTAAAATAATAGGAGTTTAACAAAGACTGGTGATTACATAATTATAAAATGGTATTTTATTATGTATCATGTAATGTTTGTCAAATTATATACAAAATAAGTAAAGGAGTACTGTGGATATAATTTTTTTAAACATAAAATAAATTATTTTAATTTAAATTGAGGTACATAGAATTTATTTAATCATTGTCATAAATCATATTTTATCATAAAAAAAAGTTTTTATGTTTTTTAGTAAAATACTTACTCTTGATCGAGTAGAATAAACTGGACAATTTGTTAGATGATACAACAACTTTAGAACAATAAAATACTTGTACACTAAGAAATAATTTATTGAAATAATTATTAAAATACAACAAATAATTTATTAGGTATATTTAATAATTAAGTTTCAAAGCGAAAACTAATATTTACTTACCAATAAACTTCAGTACAAAAACTTAACGATCAATTTCACCAAATACAACGTCCAATGTTCCTAAAATTATTTTAAAGTAAAAAATGTATTGGTTAATGTTAAATAAAAATAAATATATATAGGTTTGATTTCAATGTGTTTGAAATAAATTACCAATAATAGCTACAATATCAGCAAGGAAGTGTTTCTTGCCTATCTTCTCTAATGCTGCAAGATGTGCAAAACCAGGGGCTTTGATTTTACATCGATATGGTTTTGAGGAACCATCAGAAACTAAATATACTCCAAATTCACCTATAAAAATATTTACGTTTTAAAAAATAATTCAAAAGATAATTAATAACTAAATATTAAAATTTTACCCTTAGGGGCTTCAATTGCGGTATAAGTAGCACCAGGAGGTACTTGATAACCTTGAGTGAATAATTTGAAGTGATGTATCAAGGCTTCCATGGAATTCTAATAAAATAATTAAATTTTAAATCTAGGTAATATATTTAGTAGATATTATTAGTATATATTATTATATATATATTAGGTATATTATGTATATATTATTAATTTATTTACTTTCATCTCTGATCTAGATGGTGTTGATATTTTCATGTCATCAGTTTTAATTTCACCAGCTGGCATTTGATTCAAACATTGTTCTATAATTCTAAGTGATTGCCTCATTTCTGCAACTCTGCATAAATATCTAAAAAATATAATTCACAAGCTATCATTTAATGATTCAAAATTTACTTAATTTAAAATGAATGTTTATGCATAACAATATATTATTTTAATAAGAATATAATATAAAATTAAAAAAGAATGTGTAAAAAATTATCAATATACTTAATGTCTAATACATTTTCAGTCAGAGTTAGTATATTTATACTGATTGATAGAAATCTTAAGAAAAACAATCAGACATAACTAATATAAATAAAGTCATTACTAACCTGTCATAACAATCCCCACGAGTACCAATTGGTACATCAAAATCTAAAAGATGGTATGCATCATAAGGTTGTGTTTTACGTAGATCCCATTTTATACCTGAACCACGTAACATAACACCACTAAAAGAGAATTATTGATTTTACTATAGTGAAATTTTACTTAGGTAACACAAAACAAACCTAAAACCTAGGTTTAGAGCGTCTTGAGCACTCACAACACCTATATCACGCGTCCTAGCAATCCAAATACCATTGTTGGTAAGCATATCTTCTGTTTCATCAATACGTTCACCAAATTTCGATGCAAATTGATAAATATCATCCATCAAACCAAGTGGTAAGTCCTAAGTAATTAGTTTAGGAAAATTGAATGTGTAAATATCATAACTATTAAACATTTACAGTAATATCTTTATACCTGAGATACACCACCAGGGCGTATATATGCAGCATGCATTCTAGCTCCAGATACACGTTCATAAAATTCCATCATTTTTTCACGTTCTTCAAATAACCAAAAGAATGGAGTCATGGCACCAATATCTAAAGCATGTGTACCAACAGCCATAATATGATTCAACAATCGGGTGATTTCAGCAAATAATGCTAAAATAAAAAATAAAAATATAGATTTATTCAAAACAAAATGTTATCAACAAATATAAACAGCTTTTATTAGTATTTTGTTGTTTATTCTTACTTCGAATATACTTTGCCCTTAATGGTATATCAATATTCAACAATTTTTCTACAGCCAATGAATAACACTGTTCATTGCACATCATAGAAACATAATCAAGACGATCAAAATACGGTAATGCTTGGGTATACGTTTTGTATTCGATTAATTTTTCAGTAGCTCTATGCAAAAGTCCAATATGTGGATCAGCTCGTACAACAACCTAAAATATAGTGATCATATAACAAAATGTTGAGGTTTTAAATTCTGAACTATCATAATAAGTCTTACCTCCCCGGCAAGTTCCAATACTAATCGAAGTACACCGTGGGCAGCTGGATGTTGTGGCCCAAAGTTGATGGTCATATTTTTTACTTCACGTTCAACTGGTTGAGGATTACAATTCCACGACTCGACTTTCCAATCGCTTACCTCTTCCGGTACAAACATGACTGGCCGTTCAAATTTTTTCATATCTTCCACGCCCGGGTACCATTTCGATGCATTCCTAACGTGCCTGCAAGTAAATAGGTAGTAACTAGTAGTAGTACTAGTAATAAGAGGTGGTCGTTAGCATAATAAAAATACGGTCACATTATGTCAACCGTCTGTTCACTTACTGATAGATTCGGTCGTTTGAAATCAGATATTTGGACAGCACGCCCAAGTTGTTCTTCTTCACTAAATTAATAACTGAAGCCATCTCTATTCGACCGAACGGGAACAATCGCAGAAGAATTTCCCGTTAATTTCTTTCCCTTATTTAGAGGGTATTGAATTTTCCCTACCGAAATTTTTTCGGGAGCGACTTAATCATTTATCAGTTATCACTAACTTCTGTAGGTCTTCCATGGAAGAAAAAACTATACAACCAGACTTTTCGGAACGTTGTTATCACTCGTCGAGCAGCATGCGCTCATTATTATCACGAGACAACGTTTGGTAATATTTGTATTCTATAGTCAAAAATTAATTTTGTCAATAAATAGTATGTTTTAACATTTTTTTTTTAAATATTCTCCTTTTGACCAAGAGTGGAGACGTCGGTATTCAAGAGTCCTAGTTCGATTTCGATGATAACGATGCTAAACACTTCGTCGTTTTCAAATATAATTTCAAGTGTTGGAACGTTATTGCGTAAGTAACGGGGAATATTATAAAACCAAATAATGTTATCTGAATAAAATGCAATCCGTAGCCGATATCCAGTATCGGTCTAAACGAATGTAACTTATATCATGCGTTTTAATGATTTTCCAGTTCGAAACAGTGTTAGACATGCGTCCAAAAAATCTGGTACTAGTTCATCAAATGTGGGTGGTCGTGTTCGCCCGAAACATAGAGGTATCAGATACAACGACGGCCGTGAAGTCACTGCCGGAACCATGTTGGTGTTGCAGAGAACATTGAGATTTCACCCAGGTCTACATGTAAGTGACATGTGCCATTTGTATGATATTTTATTGACTAGGTATTTTGTCCTCAGGTTGGATTCGGACGTAATGGTACATTGTTTGCGTTAGAAGCGGGTAAAGTAGTTGTATCGTGTGAGAAGTTTGATCCATTTTGGGAACACACCTGGGTCCAGAGGATTTATGGCCATCGTAAAGGGCAAACAATATACAAAAAATATTTTAATATTATACCAGAGCCCCAGCACAATCGATTTAAACTTATCGAATCAAATTAATCTATTGTTGCCGATCAAAATTTGCCCGCTCTGAAAACAATTTTTGTAATTAATAGACTGTAGAAATTTATAAATAGTGTTCATAATAAACATGATGATTTTAATTATTTCATAATTATTTATTTTACATATAATACAATGTAAACTTTTATCAGGAATATAATATAAACTTGTATTTATATTAAAGCAAAAATTGTATAACACTTGAAATTATGTATTTTCTTAATATTTGCAACATATACTTTGGAAATACATTCTCAGCATCACCACTTCAACACGTGACCAACTAAAGACTTGCATAATCTGAAAAAAGGAAATATTACTGAGAATTTTTTCCGGTGATGACTGTTCAGTTATTAATGTGCCTTAATCACAAAAAATTTGTTGTTCGGCTTAATTTTCGATGAGCTACATTCTGATAAATATTTGAATGTTTTGACTAGTTTACATGTACTGTAAACATTTTTTGTAAAAACCGTGTTCATAAATAAGAATACATTCCAAAATTCCTTGTGTACCTACCTCTTGAATTTAAATTTCTGCCGGTTCGTGTTTATATATGTTTTTAGTTAGTATGTTCTTCATTCAACTGTATGTTGTAACCGTGGACATACAATTTTAATAAAACACCACCAAAATATATTCTCACTATTACACACTCTAAGGTTTCTGTACTTAAAATTGTCAAGGAATGAACATTCACCTCTTTTACTACTATCAATAATTTTAATATCTTTTTTAAATATGAAAAAAGTCACTCACATTTTAACCACTCTATAGGTATACATAAGACTGACTAGTAACGAGTGGTTACTGAAGATTTAAGACGTGTTAGTGTTAGTGTGATTATTGTACAGTACTTAACTTGTCATATCTTATCCGTCATTTAGCTATAAAAATAGTATGCGGTTTTATATCCATTATAAATGTAATATGTTTTGTTTTACATTGACAGATGAAGTGTGCAGGTTTTGTTTATCGACCTTTATGGGGTCGAAATCAAAAGTGTGTAGTTTTAGAATGCAACCCTTTCATGATGTCAACCTATGTTGGCAATTTAATCGTTTCATATAAGTTTAATTTAGTAATTAGTAATTTAAATATTTATCATAGCTTAACTTAGGTTTTTACATTTTTTTATGAAGAATAGAGAAAGTAGCGTAATCTTGATTTGTAAGTGTTTTTTTAAAATTTAAATGAGTTATTTTTTATTGTTGATGATTAAGATTTTTGAATTCCGAGCTGAACCAAATTTTATATTTAGAAGAATAATAAGTGTAATTGGATAATTTGGTTTTAGACTTAATGTATCTAAAATGAACGAATAGTCAAGAGTGGATACAGAATCTATTTACGGTCGAGGCATTTTAAAAGAGAAATTATATAATATAACTGATCATAGGCGTTTGAAGAGGTGTCTTGATGAGGGGGTTTAGACCTCGCCCTAAAAATAATGTGACAATATTATAAAAAAAAACTGTCAACATTTATTTTTATAATCTATTATTCAGTTCTTCCAAATATGCTTTATTTTTAATATTATTTTCTTCCAAAGGAGGTGGCACTTGCATCTAGTAACCCTCCCCTAGATCTACCAATACGAGTAGGTGGAATCGTAAAGATACGTATCCCCTCTGGACTCGTTCCAAAGGAACTATTCGTTCATGAACGACCCATCATCACTAGCCCTACGGTATCGGTTGGGAAACGGGGGTGGATGCAGCCGTTACGTATAACGAGAATCTGTGGTTTTAGTCGTGGTGTGCCAGCGCTATTTATTATTCTTTCCTACTCCTTGTGGCGCAGTATAATGGTTAGCGTGAAGTAATGATTAAACGTAATAAGTAGGTTGACGGTTATAAACAAAACTACGGTCCGGGCAAAGTCGGATACGGCCTAATCTAGGGTCTCTTAATCTAGATTTCGTGATAGAAAAAAGGGCGAGGCGTTGCGACACCAGAAACGTAAAATTTTATGTATCTAAAAAAGTTTGTTTTGGAAATATTCAATGAAAAATGTTGTTAAAAATGAAATGAAAAATAAGTGCCTAAATTGACGTTTTGCGAGTTTGAAATTGAGACTCTATTGAATATATTTTATACATTTTATCTTTTACTGATCATTGTGTTAAAAAATAAGTAAAATCATACAACCTTAATAGGTTCACATATATTTATGTATATTCTATCAACTTTATAGAATAGTTTAGAATATACTCTAAACGTTGTTTCAAATTGCGATATTTTAATCTGCCAGAACGATAAAAAGCCTATGTGTACAAAAGAGATGAAATTATTATTGTTACGTTTAAAACAATATTGAATTTTTAAGTAAACATTGTAATAAATACTTGGCTGACGGTACTTTTACATACAAACTGTATATTGTACACGAATGGAGCCAAAAATATTATTTTTCTTTAATACATTGTGTTATACCTTCTAAAACTGAATGTTGTTTCATAAAAATGTGGGTCAATATTAAACGTGTATGGTGTTAGAATAAGATTTAAATATTTACATTATTTATCTCAATTTTGAGATGGCTGATTATAATAATAGTATAAAAATGCTGATACTGTAACACGAGGAGAAAAAGAAGCAAAATATGATTGCCAATTCTTTATCATGGGGAGGAGTAGGAGTAAAATACGAATCTCGATCTGTGTATTGTGTAACGACTTGTCCGATTACATTGAGCAATTAAGTTATAAATAATATGATTAATATTCAATTCTATTATGTATGTAATGCAGTACATGAATTTAAATGAGTTTGATTGGTTAAGATTTGGAAAAATACGTATGCAAGAATTTTGTTATTCTCAGTGAGTATTTTATTTAGCATATCTTATTATTATGGTCGGAGGGCCCCTAAATTAATTTGCCCCTGGCCAAAATAAAATCTCAGGACGGCCCTGTGCCGTGAGTTCAAAAGTTTTCAATCGTAAATACAATTTGAAAAGATACACAAAGCTGCATGATAACAACAATTTTTTATGTAGACAATGTCCAACATTTTCTTGTCAGGATAACTTAAGAAGACATATTAAATCTCTTGAGAAAATGGTCTGGTGTTATTTGGAGGGAATGAAAATTATAACATCGGTGATATTGCCAAAAAATTTATGATTAAAATTGTTCAAGTTGGTAAAAAATCGAAAAATTACATGAAACAAACGTACCCTTATAATGTGTACCGAAGATGCAATACATCATCGTAGAATTATCGATCGATACATTTTTTTCCTCAATATAAAATTTAATTCAATGATAATAATTTACGGGTTAGAGATCATGATAATTTAACAGGTACTTTTGTAGTAATAATAATTAAAATGCCACAGCCTAAATTTATACCAGTCTATTTTCAAAATCTCACAGTGTATGATTCATATTTCTTAATAACTCAATTAGGATTTGATACTCAAACAATCAGTGTTATACCACATGCATTTTTTTTTCTAAATATGTGCCAAACTCGTTTCAAATCGATATAGATACATACAGATTTATGCTATTATGCTCAGAAGAACTAGTAAATAATAACTAAAATAACTATTTATTATATAATGAACATTAAGTAATAAAGATTAACAAGAAATGTTGAAGATTTACCAAGGATAGAAAGGCGAACAAGGATGACTAAAAGCAGACGAGTGGTGTTGTACGTTTGATGCGTGCACTGTGTCGACTGCAAACGTTTCGTGGTTTATTGAAATCTCCAAGGCTAGTTCTGTCAATCGAATACTTAGATAAATAAGTATGTGATGGCGGTCAGTGGAGTAACCAAGGGGAGGGGGCTAATAAGGCTATAGCTCTCCAGATGGGTCGTGTTTTTGTGTATATAACATACTAGTATACTTCCATTTGGTATTTAAGTATTTTAAAATTTTGCTACGAATTAAATGTTGACGAACGATAGGTCTTTGGTACATAATCGTATTACTTTTACCGTGATTTACCATCTTTTTGGTGGTTATCATGTAGTTTTTAGTGACTCTTGTCAAACACTATTATTTTATAGTCACCATAGTTTTCATACCATGTTATGTCATTTGATGCTGCTGTAGCAGACAACCATTAATTTATTATTATTATTATACATTTGACTTTAATAAATATTATTAAAACTATTTTAAAAACGCTGGAAATACATTTACAAACCTGGTGGTTGGGGGTGAAGGGTAGATTTTAAAATTCTGTCTTACTTAAACTGTCAAAAAAAAGTGTTCAGTCCCATCCGCTTAAAAATCATGGCTATGCCACTGATCACTGTATCAGGGTAACACGATCGTGTTACTAAGTTCTTTGATCGCATGAATGACATTCGAAGTTCCTTTTAAATTTCATATGTGAAAAAAAAAATTTTAGTTTATCCTACATTTTAACTGTTGAAAATATTATAAAATACATTTTTTGCATATTCAGTAACATGTATTATATAGTAGAACAAAATAAAATATACCTACTTACACAATCGGTCTAAGATGTTAAATAGTAATGCATTATACTACCATACTATTTAAGTATACAAATTTGTACATACCTTCAATGTAATATTACTAGCACAATGTAGTAAGACCATGAACATTGAAGTAAGGATATCGATCTACACAAATAAAAGTGGGCCCAGATATTTAGCATCCGCTAGAGACCGCTGCAGAATGCTAGTCATACTCTAAATTAAACAATTTATGATCAAATATTATAGAATATAATTTAAAGAGCAGATTATTTTTAACAAAAACAATAAAACTATACATTAATAGGTGGTATTTCGATAAAATTGTTACATATTTTTAATTATTTTAAATAATTATAATATATTATTATAATAACTTGGCATAACTTGGTTACAATAATTATGATTGATATTAACAGTTGATAATTTTTAATTTATGGTTCAAACTACAGTGGAAAAAAACAATACTAACTTATATTTATTTTTCAAAACTAAAAGTTGTTAATTAGGTATAATTTTATTAATTTCCAATCCATTCTTTTAAAAATGTAGGAACAATTTAATTGAAAAAAGTATATTTATGTTCCAAAAATACTTAATATCTAGAACTAAATAAAAAAGCTCTATTTTATTCAGTCTGTAAATCCCTTTGTTAGTAATGACTGTAATAATTTTGGATGGCTGCGTAACATTAAACATAATATTATTCCATAAATGTAAATCAATATTTAGCTTTTATTATTATAAATCTTTAAAAATGTGATAAGTGATAATTATATTTTGTAATTAAGGTAAAATTTGGTTTATTAACTTATTTTTATTATATCAAACAAAAACAAAATTTTATAATAGTAACTTTTTTTTATTTCAGTGTATAATTAATTAGATACAAATATTAAATAATAAATAAAAATCATTACAATATGTAAGTTATAAAATAATGATTATAGGTGCTTAAATTAACTTTGCAGACTTTTTATGAAGTTTCGATTTTTCTTTCTTAGCATTTTCTATAGAATTGGACCGGGAACAAATGAAATTTACCTTAGTTATGTGAAAAAAGTTAACTAAAGATAATGTTAAACTATCTGCATGGAGATCATATCCAACAAGTTGTAGTGAATCTATCTGTTCTAGTTTAGAAAAAATGTTAAATAGTACTTCACTGCATAATCCTTCTTCATTTAAAACATATTGCAGCCTTCATGGTACTAATTAAATTAAACAATTTTTTTGATAGTTTATTAAATGTCCGTGAAATAATTTATCAATGAAAACAACTCTTGAATTAAGATATTTCTGATTTTAGAGATGAAAGGCAATTTAGACACTTAGTAAATCCAGTTGCTTTCTTAGCTACATTCCCAATGACATGATTTAACCAATTAAATGTTAACAAGATAAATTAAAAAAAACTTTTACTTAATATTTTGATAAAATTATGTGGTGTAACATTTATCAATCATTCGTACAATTTTAGATACTAATATATATATAAGACCACTAAATATCCTATGGCACTTGTACAAAATGAGTACGACTTCTATTCTGTAGCGCGCTCTAGCGGAAGTTACTAATTCGGGACCTTTTTTTCTGTCCAGCCGGCTGTCATCAGTGTCCTTACTCTAATGTTCATGAGTAAGACCCATGATGTTTAACATAAAGGAAAACATCTGTTTTGTTCAATATTATCTACAAAATATTATCATTTTTTTGAAAGTAGTTTTTAGATTCTCGGCCGAAAAATTAAACCATTAATTTTTACGTGACATTATTGATAAAAAAAAACATTATGTGTCAAATAAAAAATTGTATCATAATTTAAATCTTCTTAGATATAGTCAATATTTTATTTTTACTATTACATATTGATAAACGTTTATGGTACTAACATTATATCATGCAACGTTATGTACATAGTATTCATATTATGTACAAAGTTTTAAGTTATATCACTGTGACCTGATTTTGAATCCCAAATATGTATTTTAAAATAAGAATTATGTTAATCATTTTTCTATTAAACACATCAATGAATCAACGTGTGATATAAAAATATCTGCGTAGACAGTGGAGTAATTGGGGGGGAGGGGGCAATCGCCCCTCTGAAAATTTTTTGAGAGATAAAGGTATAATTTTGCCCCCCAGATAATCCAACAGTACAAATAGCACCTTTTATTAATGAATTCTTATGGGTTTTATTTAACAATATTGGTACCTAGTACCTGCTATCTACAATTTATGTTTATCTAAACTATAAAATTAGTTAAGACTTATGTAAAATCAAACTATTAGATATACTGTATAAAATACATACAATAAAAATATGTTTTAACTGGTGAGGGGGAAGGGTGTAAGGGTTTGGTAATAATAAATATAATATATTGTCCCTCCTAGATTTTTTCCCAGTTACGCCACTGAGCGTAGATATCCGCATGACCATGTATAGATCATTTTTTGCCCTGGATAATTAATAAATTTAACTTAAAATTAGTATAATCGATGATGCTCGAGCGCTTCTAAGAAAAATGTGCATCTGCGAATGTTTAAATGTAATTATACGATCAGCCCCGGGGCCTTCAAAAGTTCTCGCTGGCTCTGCCCGCGAATATAAGCAGTACATTAACTGATTATATTATTTATTTAACGAATGGTTTAAAAACTTTCAAAATAATTCAAAAAATGCTATTAATGTATTTTATAGTAGTAGATAATATGCTGGATGATAGGAACCGAAGGTTTAACAACAGTTTTAATTTTTTAAACGTATTATCAGTATTTAGTTAAATATCAAACAATTTTTAAAATTTATAATTTCTTACGAAAGTTCTCAAATAAAGTAGTGAGCTGAAGTCGAGTAGTGAAAATTATGTGCAGTACCTAGCTGTAATAATATTGTGGAATTTTAAAAACAAATATGCTATACGAGAAAGTAATTTGAGAACATTTAATAATTATTGAATGCGTGTTGATTTAGTATATGAGAAAGTTCCGCTCAGCAAAAATAAGTTTTTCGACAGTAAGAAGAATCAATGCGTATTTATGGACATCTATGAATATGACGTGTCTAGGTAATTTAGTGTTGACATTAACCGAAATTGAGTTCTGTTTAGAATTATGCATGATCCTACAATGATTATTGACGAGTATCATAACATGCACTTAATTTGATTTATCAATAGGTACAAAATCAAGAACAGTACTGATAACAGAATTTGAAAATTATTCAAAAATAACAATATAAAAGTTGTGTACACAACTAATAGTTATGTTGTCACCGAGAAAACAAAATTGTATAGTTATAGTAACAATATTTTGGTTCCAATAACTGAACTTTTTATTTTTAGTGTATACCACAATGAAAAATAAATAAATTAAAATCACCAAATGCATATTATAAATAGTTATTGTAATTAATATTTACGATTGACTACAGAGTACATTTTAAACAGTATATTAAAAAATACCTAAAAGAAAAAAAGATGTATACTTTAAAAATTATTCTTATAACCAGGCTTGTTCTAGATTTTGATCAAGCGTAATGAATTGGTGGCCTAAATTTTGATTTTGCCATTATTTCGTAGGTTATTTGTTAATATTTGTAAGTGCAAATTCGGCATATTCATTTAAAGCTGGTTATTTCCAAAAGAATAAATTGCTTCTCGAACAACCTTTGGCATTTGTCGTTACATTATTTTGTTTATGAAAATCTTGAGTACTAACACAATTTGACTACAACTAAACAAAATAATTGTGTAAGCAAACAGGGAACATGGTTTTACCGTTATTTCTGCAACGCACAAAATTATTACATATTTATAACATAATAATGAATAAATATTAAATATAATCTATCTCATTGGCATAAATTCCGTATGGTGTTAAGGAGGAAGAAAATGTTTCAAGGATCACTTTTTGAAGCCTCGAAGGCAGTACATTTTGAAGAGATAAAATAATACTGTTTTGTTTAATTTTCACTAATGATACATTTGATGTAACATCCATACTCTACACTAAAATAAAAGTCGAAGAGCCACACAAACAACGACAGATTCCACAGTGTTTAAATTGTCAATCTTATGGTCACACTAAAAGCTATTGCAGCTATACTCCACGTTGTGTTAAATGTGGCGGAAATCATCTCTCCACGAATTGTTCCAAGTCACGCGAAACTCCTGCTACCTGCGCACTGTGCAATGCCAACCATCCAGCAAACTATAAAGGTTGCACTGTATATAAAGATCTCCAGCAACGACGATGCCATCTTGTGAGCTCCAAGCATGCCCGTCTACAACATCAAAAAAAGCCTCAACATCCTCCAGTCGACCACTCTAACTACCAACCAGCCAATCAACCAACCTGTCATACCACTAATAAACCTAGTACTCGTCCATACGTTAATGTAACAGATAACGACCCCACTCAAAATAATTCTGAAAATTCTTCAGCCAATGTTGATTTCATGCTTACCAAATTCTTAGATGAACTTAAATCAGTAATTAACCTCTTAATCACCCTTCTAACCATTGTCATCACTAAATTTATAGAATCTAAAAATGATAAATAATTCATTCACCTCTTACTCCCTCCTAATCCTACTCTGGAATGCTAATGGACTTAAAAACCATAGAAACGAACTTCTTATCACTCTCCAAGAAAAAAGAATAGATATAGTACTTATTTCCGAAACTCATTTTACTAATACATCCTATGTTAACTTCACTGGATACCATGTATACCGTGCAAATCATCCAGACAACTCTGCCCACGCTGGTGCAGCCATATATATGAGGGCTTCACTTGCATATACTCCATTACCTAACTTCCATACAAATCACATTCAATCGTGTGCAGTTTCCTTATTCCTCAACAATATACCTATTACCATAGTAGCGGCATATTGCCCTCCTAAACACAACATTTCACCGGATTAATTTACTGAATTCCTAGCCACCTTAAACAATAATTATATAGTTTGGGGTGACCTTAATGCTAAGCATATTCAGTGGGGCTACCGTACCTCTAACCCTAGAGGTAACTCTCTCTTTCAAACTGCCTACCACTCTAATATCTTAACTCTCGCTCCACCTAATTTCACCTATTAGCCCACATCTCGTCATAAAATGCCTGATATTTTAGATATTTTTGTCGCCAAAATTCCAAATAGCCTTCACACACAAACTCAAAACTTGT